TTAGTTGACAGGAAAGATATAATTATGCATATAAATGCCACAAATTTTAGGATAAAATGTGTTGATATGATAGATTGTTGACAACACAGATGTTGACAACATAGAGATTATTTTAACATTATGTCTACGTGGTGTGTATTTGGGTTTTCAAGTTTGGTTGATATGATCGATTAGTTGACAGCACAGATAGTTGACAGCAAAGGTAATTGACTGTATTTTCATTCATTTTAACAAAAAAAAGTTTATTAAATTGTTTGCAATTAGAAAATGTTTATTAATTAATACAGTATTTAATACAATATTTTGTCAAAATTTTTGAATTGAGAGAAAGAGAGAGAGAGAGAGAGAGAGAGAAATTCTAGAAAAATCTTTATGATTAACTCAATTCTAGTGTCCATTCATTTCAAAAAATTACATAAAAATAAATCTTTAAATTAATTGTGAATTCAATGAATGGGAGAAAACAATACAAAAAACACAACAAAACAATAATTATCAATGAATTTGATTGTAAACTAAAGCAACAATTGTCTCATCTCTGACCGCCGCGTCGGGCGCCACCTCTGCCACCAGCGCCTCCGCCGCGACCGCCAGAGCGCTGATTATTCTGGCCTTTAGTCTTAGGCGGCGGTGACTTCGGCCGCAAGGACTCGATCCGATCCGTACAACCGGTGAGAAAGTCGTTGGGATTGGCGTTGAAATAACTGCAATACGTTTCGCTATTGAAGTTACTGTTCGTAAGGCCGGGACCGACGGTCAGCCAACCGGGCCTTATAGTGGAGTCGCGGCCGAATACATGCAGCCGTCGGCGACCCAAACAGAAGTGCTCTATGATGTGGAATATCTCTTCGGGCTTTTGAATGGATCCGTATTCGAACTCTTCGCTGATAATCAGATCGATGTCGACATTGGCGTGAATGAAGTCGCCGTCAGTACTCCGGCGAACGGTTCCCTTAATACCCATCAAACAGTGCTCTTTCGTGCGCTGAAAGAGCGCGTTCTGTTCCAAGTTCTTGGAGTGTCCCGGAGTGTTGATATTGGTCTTAATCCAACAAATGTCTTCGCATCGCCTGAAGCCCCACTTCCGCAGACACTGGCGGCCGAGATCGAGGCCATCGCTGGAACCGCACCACAAGAACACGAACGACCGCTGGGCGGCCACGTCTTCGATGGGCAAAGACATCACTTCGGACCAGTTGGCGAACTTCATGTTCGTCACGCCGTGTGACCGCTGATACTCTTCCAGAGGGGGTTCGATGAGAATCACGTCAAACTTACACCGAATGTCCTTTAAGTCGAATTGTCTTAAGTCACACTTGAGATACATGGGAGGAGTGGCCGTTTGGGCGATCAGCTCGTCCTTCAGTCGAATCAGTTCTTTGAGTTTCGGGTATTCCTCGAAACGGTCGGTGAGGCCGACGTCGCGGATGAAGTTCTGCGGCCGTTGACCGATGTCTACGAAGTGCTGGCAGTAGTCGTTGTGCGGATTCGCCGATTGAGTGCCCTTTCAATGGATTCAACGGACATTAAAAGCCGATATAAAGGGTGACGACTGGGGAGTGGAAAATACCTTTAAAAAAGTGCTCGAATCGGTGTAAGTGGCCATCGGTTCCGTGCCATCGATCGGCTCGTCGTTTGCGTCCGTTTTCGGCCGTTTAGACGAATCGCAATCGTCGGCCGTGTCTTTGGCGCCACTTTTGTCAGACCGATCTTCGGCGCAATCGGCGCCACCAGTGGCTGAAGAACCGCCACCGGAACCGTTCACGTCATCGTTGGCCCGATTGGTCACGTGTTGGTCAGTGGATGAGCCGCCGGCGGCGGCGGTGGCGGCGCCTCCGCTGTGATGAGCGCCAACAGTGGCTGATCTCTCCTTTTCATAGCCCAAGACAGTGGCCAATGAGTCCACATCTCCGACGCCTAACTGTGTGGACAAAAGACAAATATAAAGGTTAGCATCGGATCAATACCGTCGAGGAATCACATGAAATACCTGTTGGGCTAAGAGTTTGCGGCGTTTCTGTGACTTCTCCTGCAATTGTTTGATCACTAAATTGGTTGATGTCATGACACGAGTGGATGGATGTGTCAATTGGTGGCACCGATTATCACACGTGTGTTGTGGTCAGTGTTGGGCCAGACATAGGCCGGTGTCGGGAACCAATTCGGTGATCACTTTATGGCCACAAAACTAATGTTTATCTTTGAAAATACAATACAATAACAATTTGTTATTACATTCAATGTATCAATAAAAAGTGTATTTTCAAAATTAATAAAGCAATATAAACACCATATGATAGCATTCCCTGTATTAAAGCTTGGTATCACGTGAAATGGTATATACATTTATGATGTCACATATATATGAGAGTAGGGTGTTACACCGGATGTGCTTTTATTCACAGTTAGTCTGATATATACTACACGTATTGTATGGTATTGTCTCCATCTATGAATGTTTATTGTTTTATTAATTTTGAAAATACACTTTTTATTGATACAGTGAATGTAAATAATATTAGTACACTTTTTAACTTAAAATAATTAGCAAAAAACCGGGATATTATAAAAATAAAATAACCCTTTTGTTTAAATAGATGATTTAAGCGAAACATTGCGTGTTATTTCAATAGTTTATAAACGTGGTTATATAATTAATCAAATGTGATGTGCAAAAAATCAAATATATCTACCTTATATAATTTACCTTACTTATTACAAATTTAGTTTAAAATGCCAATAATTTGAATGACAATTTTTAACAAAATGCAAATTTAAAATTGAATTAGAATATGATAGTGTATTGCTTAACGATATTCTGACAAAGTCTGTGTAGTAAAAAGATTGAGGTATTAACAGTAATATTGGTAGTAAAATGGTTTGGTGTCCGGAAAGGGTGGTGTCTGTGGGTCAGTGGTTGTAAAGATGGCTGTTGTAAGCGTACAACTGGTGTACAATGTATTGAAGTCTTAGAGAGAGTCAAGTGTTTGAGAGTTTGTGTTATGAGTGAAACCAATACTCAAAACAATGCATTGAATTGAATACAAAACCAGTGATTGATTTGCAGTAATGAGTGAATCGGGTATTGATTTGACACTCGTTTTTGTGGATCCGTTGAGCCATTAAACCATATCTCAAGCCATGTCTTCAGAAACGCCTCAAACAACAAACCAAACGCCAAATGAGATTGAGTTGAATGAGAGGCGAAGACCGCCACCAATACTGATGCCCATCGATGTGTCGGATGGCAGCCAAACGTCGGGCCCGAAGACACCGCAAACACCGGGTCCGTCGTCGGCCAACAGGAAAGCGGACAAAGAGCGCAAAATTGGCCACAGAAGGGTCGACGAGGAGGGACAGGTGACCTACAAGAAGATTCAGACCACGCAAATCATGGGATCCATTCAGTTGGGCATCGGTCACGCCGTCGGCTCTCTCGCCTCCAAACCCGAGAGGGATCTCCTGATGAAGGACTTCATGGAGTTGGAGACCGTGTCGTTCACCAAAGACGGCTCCAACACAACGCCCGCTCACCACTACTCGGACTTCAAGTTCAAAGTGTACGCTCCGATCGCCTTCCGCTACTTCCGCGACCTCTTCGGTATACAACCGGACGACTTCCTGCTGTCGGCCTGTAATGAACCGCTCAGAGAGCTCTCCAATCCCGGGGCTTCCGGTTCTGTCTTCTATCTCACAGATGACGACAATTTCATCATTAAGACTGTTCAGCACAAAGAAGCAGAGTTTCTGCTCAAACTATTGCCCGGTTATTACATGGTATGTGTCCTCGCAGTCCACCACCCCTTTCCTCCATTCCCTTCAACTCATTGTTTGTTTTTGATTTAACAGAACCTAAACCAGAATCCGCGGACACTTTTACCCAAATTCTTCGGCCAATACTGTTATATCTGCGGCGGGAAAAACGTGCGGATAATTGTGATGAATAATCTGTTGCCGAGTTATGTGAAAATGCATCAGAAATATGACTTAAAGGGCTCGACGTATAAACGAAAAGCCAATAAATACGAGCGCAAGAAAGAGTCGCCCACTTATAAGGACTTGGATTTCATGGAACACCACTCGGAGGGTCTGTTCCTCGAGGCCGACACTTACAACGCTCTCATTAAGACAATGCAAAGGGATTGTCGAGTATTAGAGAGCTTTAAGATAATGGATTACAGCCTTTTGGTGGGCATTCATAATCTGGATTTGGCGGCGATGACCAAGTTGGAGAAACTCAAGGCCCAGTCATCCACTTTGGCCGAAGCGGCCGTCTATGAGGCCAGACTTCGCAGCGCTCGCGAAGCCGGTGACCAAACCGATCACGAAGAGTATATCGACCACAAAGAGTTCAGTGATAATAATAGAGCTAATGATATAAATAAAGGAAATTCTGTCAATTTAAGCCGAAGTAAATCTATTAACAAACAAAGAATCGCCGCCTATTCCACAGCCCTTGAGTCCATTCAGGCAGACATCGAACCAATTGATCCCGAAGAAGACATTCCGTGAGTATTCACTATTTGATGTCACTGTTGTTACTATTTGCACAAACATTAGTCTTTATGTTTTTATTTTTATATACCGTGTTATTAATGATCTCTAAAAATAGTATTATATTTTGTCTAATGGTTTGCATAAAATTAATTGCAAATATTGTTGCGATATATTATAAATTTAAATTAAATTATATACTGTTTTCTATTGTATTTGTTTGGATGAGAGGCGCCCACCCCTGGCCTTCACAGGTATAACACAGCATAACGTACATAAGTTGTGGGCAATTCTTATGAACAGAAATGCTTAATATAGTAACACTTATGACATCATATCATACATTGAAAACAATGTATTGATTAAAAGATTTAATGCTAAACAATAGGATTGTCAAACATTTAATGAACTCGTAATCAATATTGTATGTTAGGATAGGCTCTGAATATTAAATGAGAAAAGACTTTATTTTTAATTAATTCATAATTGTTTCAAAGAATTATTTTAGTTTTTTTCCAAAACGTTTTTGCATTCGTTTCTTACAATAATTTATTATACATTTATAGAAAGAAATTAAAGGAAAATTTTTTATTTTAAAAATAACTTTTAAGACATTTGTCTCATGCATTTGCACCTAAAGTACTGATAAATGTTTGCGTGTATTGTCTGTATTATGCAAACTAATGGACTAATAATAAGTATTGAATAAATTGTCAACTCTATAGCGCCGGCGGAATCCCAGCCCGTAATTCAAAAGGAGAGCGCCTTCTGTTATACATAGGAATCATAGATATTCTGCAGAGCTATCGACTGATGAAAAAGATGGAACACACGTGGAAATCATTCCTTCACGACGGGGTAACTGCCATACCATACATACCATACCAAACATGACTATCATTTAGTAATTCATATTCATTGCTCCCATAATAGGACTCCATATCAGTACATAAGCCCGGATTCTATGCCCAAAGATTTTTAGATTTTATGTCGAAAAATGTTTTCAGAAAAATCCCTTCACGTAAGAGAGAAACTGTGTTTTCCGTATCATTTGATTCCTTTCACATTCAAACAACTAATATATGTCAGCATTTAAAGCACTTGTTTGACATCAGGAATGTTTGGATAAATATTGTCATTGATTTTCCCTTTAATTATAATTACATCCATTCCTTAATAAAAGTATGTCTATTCTATAAGAATGTCTATTAAGTGGAACAGTATTATGATTATTACGAACTAAATGAGTGATAGTTTGAAGTATTCGTTAACCAATTAGTTCACTGATTTGTGTGTATTTATTAAATAATAACGTAAATCCTAAAAACCAATGCAATCGGATGTCAAACAACGAAACACTTGTTTCTGTATTGCCTTATTGACTGAATCCATAATACACTAACAATTAATTCTTATCCTAATTAATGTCTAACTAATGGCAAAAATTAACACAAAATGCTTTAATGCTTTTAATTAATGCAAAAAACGTTAATTTCTGTTCTGTTGTGATCTATGCTCTCTGTGTCTGCGTCTGTCTCTGATTGTCTTCTAAACCCCAATGCAGTTGATTTGCCTGAAATCAAAGGCCCTCATCGTAAGTTCCGAACCCTGGTCTCGAGTTACATTGGTATGGGTATGGACTCACTCTTTACTAACAACTATCCCAACCCCTTCCCGCCCGACTCTAACAATGTTTCGCTAAATACTAACTAATTTTCTAATTAATACTCATTTTCCTCTTACTGTCTGTCTCGACCGGTCCTGTCATTCAAACCCGCCGTACATTATATGGTCTTTAATTTATTTCTATTTCTCTCATTTGTATTGATTAGCTCTTAAACACTCGCCATCGAAGCGTAAGATACCGCCGCCTCAAAGGTCAGGTCAGAGGCCTCCCTCAGAGTCTGACGCCGAAGCCCTTAAAGAATTTCATCGTAAATACAAAATACATTGATTTGACTGTTTGTGACATAAATTGATGTATTAATTGAGTATATTTTATACAAATAGACGCCAATACTAGTCGTATAGTCAACAATCCCTCTCTGTCTGGAGGACCGGTTCATAAGTTTCGCTACTCATCAGAAGCTGCTCCGAGTCTGCGAACAGTTGTCATAAAACAAGCGGCGAGTAAACAGTCAGTCGCTATACCAGATAGGAGTGAAATTGTGAGGTATTATACAAAATATCACAATAGTATTCAAAGCTTATCATAAGTCACTGTTATTTATTCTGTTAACCAATGTCTGAATGAACTTAAATTCTTCACTTAATTAGTATTATTTAGAATTTTAAACATTGTTTTAAATGTACTCTTTTGGTCCTTTTATTGCATTTAATTGTATATAAGATTTTAAAATCTCATTATTTTTTAAAGAAATATATATTTTTATTTACATTTATTTAAATTGTTGTTTGGATTATGTGTTAATGTCTTTATTAATGGAATGATTAAAATATTGTTTTCCCTAAAACTATATAAAAAGTCACTAATTTTATTATATGTTTTCCTCACATCCCATGTCTGTAATATTTGGTTGCTTTTGGTTGCCTATGAATGCATGTTTTCACTTGTCTTTCAATTATCAATTCCATTACTTTTATCAAATTGTTTATCATATGTACTGACGAGTCATGTTTGACATCGAAAACAAATTGAATTCAAAGCGAATGTCATTTGAATTGCCTTCAGATTTAAACACAAATATTTAATTTATATAAAAATAGCAATTTATCAAAAAGTGGATGCATTTGATGTCTGCGTATTGTATTCCATGAGTTAAGTAACAGAAATATGTTTGCAATAATTGATGGATCAATACATACGACAACACAATGACAGCACAAAATAAGTAACAGAATATTTGTGTAACATTTGGTTTCGAAGAATAATAATCATTCAAATGAATGGTAATCACAAAAGAGGAAAACTAAATGTTTTGCATAACTTTATAGCGTATCACAAATTGCATTGACTGAATCGGAAAGCAGTGTCACCAGTAGCTGTTCCAGTGCCACCTCCTCGGGACTGGGCTCCACATTGCGAACGGTCACGTGGACTCCACCTCACAGTATCGGCACATCCACTCCCACCCATACCGAGGGAACGCCTTCTATCACGGAGTCCAGCGAAAGCGGAGATATCGGTAAGTGTTTGCTCCTAAACCTGTGCTCTTCATACCAGTGCTGATGATTTGTTTGATTCCAATAGCGTGTCCGACGACACCGATTCGTAGCCGTAGTTCAACGCGTCACTCGCGCTCCAGTGACTGTTCAGACAATGGCGCCGATAATATACCAAATGATGCAGAAGTGGTAAGAATTGTACATTTACTCAATTAGTGCTATCAATTGCTTGTGTGCTGTGGCCTAAAGTATCACTGCTTTGGGGGCTTTGGGTATCGTTTTCTCTCTGTTGTCGCCGTTTTGTTTGTTATTCGGATCGCAATCTTTCAGATTTGTTAAAACTATCTAAATTTTTGATTACTTTATTATAAGTGCTGTTCTTATAAACAACTATCAAAACTCAAAATTGGATATTTTCCTAAACTATGCTTTTAAACTCAATATTATAACTGTAAAAGTTGTGTCTAATATACAGTTAATTTCGATGCCTCTAAATGTGTTGCATCTGATGAATGAAAAACACTGTTTGAAAGCATAATTAGATTTACACATCACTCTCTGTTTTGTTTCTTTTCTCATCCCATCCGTCTATAAAATAGTCCAAAGCCCCCAACGCCTCCATTATTAGCACCGCAACCACAGTCAACACCTGTTTGAGTCCAATCGCTGAAGACACCTGAGAACCCGAACCGCTCTTCCATTCTTATGATTACTGATGAATAGAAAACACAAATAAAATACAATAAAATTATGGGTCAAAAGACAATCACAATAATCTGACTCTGGAATCAAAAAGCATTCATTAAATTTGAATTATCGATATATTAAACTTTTATTCTTATTAAACATTCAACTCATCGATACATTTGCCATCAAAAGAGCACTTTTTTTTATTTTATCTTAATTTTGCATTTATTTATTTATTTATGCGTTCATTAATTATAAATTTTACTTAAGTTTTAAAAAACCAAATCAAATATTCATAATATGTGATATGTATTGTGAAAGAAATGCATTTTTAAGGACAGCTATAAACATATGAAAAGAGTTGTATTTTATTAAATATAATTCAGTTTAAAGTTATTCGAAGTTATAGTTTATAAAAGTATATTAATAGTCCAAAGCCCCCAACGCCTCCATTATTAGCACCGCAACCACAGTCAACACCTGTTTGAGTCCAATCGCTGAAGACACCTGAGAACCCGAACCGCTCTTCCATTCTTATGATTACTGATGAATAAAAAACACAAATAAAATACAATAAAATTATGGGTCAAAAGACAATCACAATAATCTGACTCTGGAATCAAAAAGCATTCATTAAATTTGAATTATCGATATATTATTCTTATTAAACATTCAACTCATCGATACATTTGCCATCAAAAGAGCACTTTTTTATTTTATCTTAATTTTGCATTTATTTATTTATTTATGCGTTCATTAATTATAAATTTTACTTAAGTTTTAAAAAACCAAATCAAATATTCATAATATATGTGATATGTATTGTGAAAGAAATGCATTTTTAAGGACAGCTATAAACATATGAAAAGAGTTGTATTTTATTAAATATAATTCAGTTTAAAGTTATTCGAAGTTATAGTTTATAAAAGTATATTACAAAAGCAATGAATAAATATAAATCTATTTTAATGATATTTTATAATTATTTTATGATATATTGTTGATAACTAATGATTGCATTACATTTTGCACACTCTTTTTTATTTGCACTTTAAAACAGACACATCTCTGAGAGTAACTCTTCATTAGTTTATACAAGTGATGATCAGTTCTGATGAATGAAACACTACTGTGTCTTCCGATCGACTTAAAGCACTACTAATTATATCAATAGATGAATAGTATGGACACCAAAGCCTAAGACTCTCATCACCAAACCATGACATGAATAAACACATCACCACAAGTCTTAACACATCAATAAATCCAAAACCAAAAATATTAATAACTAATTAATAATTATCCAAAACTCTGAGCTAAAAGTATAAATATATCTATATTTGTTAAATATATTGTTGTTATTTCAATGTATGCTTAATAATGTATTAATTGTTTTTCATTTTCTGTCAATTCTATGTTTCAATTCATGTCTGTCTTTATTTACAATATTTGTAAATTAAATATTTAATATTTAAGACTCAAAACACAACTCCAATAATCAAACAACTCGTTTGAACTATCGTTCAAATGGTAGCTCTTTTATCTCAATAAGTAATAATAAATTAAATTTAATTAATAATAATTTAGGTGTAAATATTATTATTATTGTAATTATTATTATATATAATATTAATTTTTCATAGATTTTAACTTATTTAACAAATTTTAAATGAAATTGTATAGAATTTATTCGAATTATTACATGAAAATTGTAATTATAACTAAAAGTTTGTTTTTAAAATCATTTATCAAATCATAAAAATCCATGTTTTTATTTATAATTACATATAATTCGTTAGACTTAATATCTATAAAATATCGTACAATAAATATTTGCAATAACTTTTGCCAAAACATTTCATTTTTAAAAATAATAAATTATCGCATTATAAAGTTGCCGTTTATTCACATCAAAACTGATTTCCTCTACTATTACCACATCGTTCACAAACCTTTTGCCTCCTTATCTAAACGTCTCGAATATTCCTTCAAATTAAATGTTTTTATGTCATAATAATTAATACATTGTTTCCTATACCGTGCGTTCCAACCATACATCACTAGAAACACCAAAAACTTAATTATGTTTTAATTATTAAAATTTAATATATTTAAAATAATAATGTTTAAAAACATTTTTGACATTAATATCTGTATTGTTTAACCCATTAGACTTGATTAGAATATATCGACATTTGACAGACTACTCAAATTATTGACTATCTAGCACTACATTTCAGGAATATGAACACAATTCTATACAATATGAATCATACAATTTATAATAGGATGTAAATATCAGTTTTAAGTGAATACTAAATACAATTATCTTAAAATTTTTTAAGGCTTTCATATTTATTGACGAATAACATTACGTTATTATATATGTTTACGATTAGAAATGGTTAGAAGTTAACCAAATCATACCAGTTGTACAACTCCTGGTTAGCCCCCAGTATATAAACAAATAGTCATTTCAGTATTCAATTTACGCGTGTAATTACTAATTAGTAATTACTATAAACTACTTTATTATAACATTATGTTTATGAATGAACGGAAATGTTTATCTACTGATGATTTCACTCTATTCACCATAATTTCAAAGGAGATACTATTTTTGATAATACTTTTGTAATTTAAATTTAAATGTGAACGCATTATATTGGATTAAATGGAAACCTAATTGCCTCAAGATGAATCCGTATAGATAAAATTCTGAAATTAGTTTCATAATTTAAGTTAACATTCTTAGGCACCAGAATCCAAGTTTCATCAAGATCGGATGAATACTTATTGAACAGGATTTTTTCAAAGTTTGTCGGTCGGAATTATTTTTAAAAATTTACAACAAAATATTCGACTAAAAATTATCTCATTTTTAAAGTGAAAATATTTTTACTAAAAATGTGTTTGAAGTGATTGTTTAGTTATTGGGATTCACTATTAGTTATCTGACAACAGTTTAGTGTAGATATCATTACATCAAATATAACGGGAATCAATTGCTAACCGACCGAACACAGGCCGCCAATCGGGTAAATCACCGATTTTTGTGTGGCCACAGTTGGGGTAGCGGTCAATGTTGACCAATAAATAGCATATCGTTGTATGTATTGAATAATAAAGGTTTCAGAAGAGGAGGGGTTTTGAATTATCTCGATTAGTATTTAAGCATGATTAATTTAACTATGATTTCAACCATCGGTAAACACAAAAACGGACCCCTTCCCATAGGAATACATTAAAATGACCGACAAACTTTGAAAAAATCCTGTTCAATAAGTATTCACCCAATCTTGATGAAACTTGGATTCTGGTGCCTAAGGATGTTAACTTAAATTATGAAACTAATTTCAGAATTTTATCTACACGATTTCGTACTCAAGCAACGAGGTTTTCATTTAATCCAATATATAAAACAGCGCTAATTGTAAAACATATAATTCAAAAATCCCATATAAACAACATTAACATAGTATAATTTAATTTAATATATCCTTAGTTATTGCACTAAAATTCTTTCACTTCAAGTGTCGAAAACATAACACAATTTTTAGCAATTTTATCGCTTCGTTGAAAATTGAAAATTTTATTAAAATATTTGTTAGACATTAATTAAATTTGGGAAAATAACTAGAATTATAAAGTGATAGATTAGCTCATTATGATATAGAATACACTTTAAATTAATAGGAATATTGTTTTGAAACTAATTGAATGGAAAGAAGCGATATATTGGCAGAAATACCAGCATTTCTTTATCACGATTTCAGAGAACAAAATAAATATTTGTTTTTCATTTGTATACAAAATAACGTATTAATGAAATCTGATGTAAAGAATAAACAACTTTAACATAAATTGTTAATTGAATTAAATTGAGTGCTCTATTCCTCCGCTTCGTCTACTTTTTATTTCCCATTTAGTATTCAATGGACACCATATGGATGCCATATGCGATGCATTTCCCAATTGGTCAGTGATTTTCTTTTCAATTAACTTTTACAGAACCTCTTCTTTACACATATTATTCCTCTCCTTTTACAGAACCTCTTCTTTACACATATTATTCCTCTCCTTT